ATCCTGAAATATGCAGTGCATTTGAAAAGTATTCAAATCTCTTTACTTTTCCACATTTTGTTACGTTACAGCCTTATTATAAAATTGATTAAAATTGTTTTTTTCTCCTCATTTTTTCTCCTCCTCATTTTTATTTTTTAAACATTTGCAAACATGTCTAAAAACCTGTTTTTGCTTTGTAATTATGAGGTATTGTGTGTAGACACAATACCTCATAATTACAAAGCAAAAACAGGTTTTTAGACATGTTTGCAAATGTTTAAAAAATAAAAAACTTTTGTATTTGGGGAGTTTCTCCCATTCTTCTCTGCAGATCATCTCTAACTCTGTCAGGTTGGATGGGGAGCATCGCTGCACAGCTATCTTCAGGTCACTCCAGAGATGTTCGATCTGGTTCAATTCCGGGCTCTGGCTGGGCCAATCAAGGACATTCAGAGACTTGTCCCGAAGCCACTACTGCATTGTCTTGGCTGTGTGCTTAGGGTTGTTGTCCTGTTGGAAGGTGAACCTTCGCCCCTGTCTGAGAGCTCTGGAGCAGGTTTTCATCAAGGATCTCTGTGTACTTTGCTCCGTTCATCTTTCCCTCGATCCTGACTAGTGTCGTAGTCCCTGCCGCTGAAAATCATCCCCAAAGCATGCTGCCACCACCGTGCTTCACCGTAGGGATGGTGCCAGGTTTTCTCCAGACGTGAAGCTTGGCATTCAGGCCAAAGAGTTCAATCTTGGTTTCATCAGACCAGAGAATCTTGTTTCTCATGGTCTGTGAGTCCTTTAGGTGCCTTTTGGCAAACTCCAAGCGGACTGTCGTGCCTTTTACTGAGGAGTGGCTTCCGTCTGGCCACTGTACCATGAAAGCCTGATTGGTGGAGTGCTGCAGAGATGGTTGCCTTCTGGAAGGTTCTCCCATCTCCACAGAGGAATTCTGGAGCTCTGTTAGAGTGACCAGCGGGTCAAGGGGTCTGAATACTTTACAAATGCACTGTATGTAGATATCTTTGTCAGAAAGAATACTATATTTCCCTTGACGGAGTGATGCTGAATGCAAAAAAAACCACTCAACTTACCCCACTCTCCCCTACCTTAGGTAGGTGTTGAGAGTTTCAGGTAGACCGTCCATCCTCATGTTATTGTCTGTTCTGCTCTCACAGCTCCACAACAACTTCCAAATGCATTGAATTGAATATATTAACTTTATTTCCAACATACAGTAAAATACATCATATAACCATTGAAATATTAAAAAATATACACTACCGGTCAAAAGTTTTAGAACACTTACTCATTCAAGGGTTTTTCTTTATTTTTACTATTTTCTACATTGTAGAATATTAGTGAAGACATCAAAACTATGAGATAACACATATTGAATCATGTAGTAACCAAAAAGGTGTTAAACAAATCAAAATATATTTTATATTTGAGATTCTTCAAATAGCGACCCTTTGCCTTGATGACAGCTTTGGACACTCTTGGCTTTCTCTCAACCAGCTTCACCTGGAATGCTTTTCCAACAGTCTGAAGGAGTTCCCACATATGCTGAGCACTTGTTGGCTGCTTTTCCTTCACTCTGCGGTCTGACTCATCCCAAACCATCTCAATTGGGTTGAGGTCGGGGGATTGTGGATTGTGGAGGCCAGGTCATCTGATGCAGCACTCCATCACTCTCCTTCTTGGTATAATAGCCCTTACACAGCCTGGAGTTGTGTTGGGTCATTGTCCTGTTGAAAAACAAATGATAGTCCCACTAAGCCCAAACCAGATGGGATGGCGTATCGCTGCAGAATGCTGTGGTAGCCATGCTGGTTAAGTGTGCCTTGAATTCTAAATAAGTCACAGTGTCACCAGCAAAGCACCCCCACACCATAACACCTCCTCCATGCTTTACGGTGGGAAATACATATGCAGAGATCATCCGTTCACCCACACCGCGTTTCACAAAGACACGGCGGTTGGAACCAAAAATCTCAAATTTGTACTCCAGACCAAAGGACAAATTTTCACTGGTCTAATGTCCATTGCTCGTGTTTCTTGGCCCAAGAAAGTCTCTTCTTCTTTTTGGTGTCCTTTGGTAGTGGTTTCTTTGCAGCAATTCGACCATGAAGGCCTCGTTCACACAGTCTCCTCTGAACAGTTGATTTTGAGATGTGTCTGTTACTTGAACTCTGTGAAGCATTTATTTGGGCTGCAATTTCTGAGGTTGGTAACTCTAATGAACTTATCCTCTGCAGCAGAGGTAACTCTGGGTCTTCCATTCCTGTGGCGGTCCTCATGAGAGCCAGTTCCATCATAGCGCTTGATGGTTTTTGAGACTGCACTAGAAGAAAAGTTAAAAGTTCTTGAAATGTTCCATATTGACTGACCTTCATGTCTTAAAGTAATGATGGACTGTCATTTCTCTTTGCTTATTTGAGCTGTTCTTGCCATAATATGGACTTGGTCTTTTACCAAATAGGTATATCGTCTGTATACCCCCCCTACCTTGTCACAACACAACTGATTGGCTCAAATGCATTACGAAGGAAAGAAATTCCACAAATGTACTTTTAAGAAGGCACACCTGTTAATTGAAATGCATTCCAGGTGACTACCTCATGAAGCCTGTTAAGAGAATGCCAAGAGTGTGCAAAGCTGTCATCAAGGCAAAGGGTGGCTATTTGAAGAATCTCAAATATAAAACATATTTTGATTTGTTTAACTATTTTTTGGTTACTACATGATTCCATATGTGTTATTTCATCGTTTTGATGAGTAGGTGTTCTAAAACTTTTGACCGGCAGTGTACGTGTAAAACAATGATTGAATCATTGAAAAACTACAATATTTCCTTTTAAAAGACAAAGACAAAGTGTGTTACATATTAGTTGATGTTAGGTGTTTATGTACAATGTTAGCTTATGAGATAAAAACTACATTATTTGTAATATTAGAAAAGTGATGATTGGCTGACGTTCTTATAGAAAAAAAACTAAAGAGCACTAGAGGTCACAATTTCACTGTCGATAAATGGGGCGGCGCACAATTGGCTCAGCGTCGTCCAGTGTAGGGGAGGGAATGACCGGCAGGGATGTAGCTCAGTTGGTGGAGCATGGCGTTTGCAACGCCAGGGTTGTGGGTTCGATTCCCATGGGGGGCCAGTATAAAAAATTATGTATGCACTCACTAACTGTGAGTCGCTCTGGATAAGAGCGTCTGCTAAATGACTAAAATGTAAATGTAAATAAATACGTCAAATTAAAATGACATCTGCAATGTTAGACAATGAAAAGTAATGATTCACTTTCTAATAGGAAATACAAAAATAAAATCTCCTATTCACTGATTTGAAGCAGATAATTCAGTCAGAGTACAAACAGACAGACATATTCAAAAATGACTTGTCCCTGGCTTCATATTACCCAAGACGGTACAGAAAGTAGAAGAAATAAAAACAAATGAGAACTGCTTGTAGAACTATTAACAATTCTACTCTACTGTAATGTATAAATATTAAACTTAGCACTTGGAACTGTAGCCATAAGATAAAGAATTCAATATTAATGTACTTTTTTAAAAATATAAAATACAACATTTTGGTCATATAGCAGACGCTCTTATCCAGAGCAATTAGGGTTAAGTGACAGATTTTTCACCTAGTCGGCTCGGGGATTAGAACCAGCGACCTTACGGTTACTGGCACAACGCTCTTAACCACTAAGCTACCTGCCGCCCCGAATATAACACTGAGCATTTACATCTGTGGCTAAAATGTTGCGAAGCAAGGTCTTCTTGAGCCTGTCACTAGCCTACAGAGTAATCAGTTCCAACTGGGCCTTCCCTGAAAGAGTTGAAGAAAAACTCTACCCAAAAATGATATTTTGGTATTTGTTTCAATAGTCTATTGTTGATATAGTCCAACATTTTTTTGCATATCAGCAAAGTTTAAGATAACTAAAAAAATACAGAAATACTGCCGGTATCAACAATGGACTAATGAAACAAACACCAAAAGATCGCTTTTGCGTGGAGTTGTCCTTTTGAGAGAGAGTTCGGCTTCTGAGGTAAAACACAATACTGCAGAAGATAATAAACACACAGCACCATCTGCTGGTCATGCACCCTCACTACAACCAAACCACTTTCAATAAACATTGGCGGTGGTATAAGGAAGGAGATAAATACAATTTGATTTGAACTGTCACATGCGCCGAATACAACTGGTAGACCTTACAGTTAAATACTTACAAGCCCTTAACCAACAATGCAGTTTTAAGAAAAATAAGTGTTAAGTAAAAAATAGATAACTAAAAAATAACATAACAAATTATTAAAGAGCAGCAGTAAAATAACAGTAGCGAGGCTATATACAGGGGGTACCGGTACAGAGTCAATGTGCAGGGCCACAGGTTAGTCGAGATAATATGCCCATGTAGGTAGAGTTAAAGTGGCTATGCATAGATAATAAACAGAGAGTAGCAGCTGCATAAAAGAGGGCCTTCCTCTGACACCGCTTGGTATAGAGGTCCTGGATGGCAGGAAGCTTGGCCCCAGTGATGTACTGGGCCGTACACACTACCCTCTGTAGTGCCTTGCGGTCGGAGGCCATGTAGTTGCCATACTAGGCAGTGATGCAACCAATCAGGATGCTCTCGATGGTGCAGCTGTAGAACTTTGAGGATCTGAGGACCCATGCCAAATCTTTTCAGTCTCTTGAGGGGGAATAGGGAGTACAGGAGGGACTGAGCACGCACCCCTGATGGGCCCCCGTGTTGAGGATCAGCGTGGCAGATGTGTTGTTACCTCTTCATTAGTTACCATACAAAGTAACGCTGTTTGAGAAAAGCACAGCTCTATCAATTCAACGTTCAACTGATATCAGTCGGTCTATGGTCCTCTGTAGCTCAGCTGGTAGAGCACGGTGCTTGTAGCGCCAAGGTAGTGGGTTTGATCCCCGGGACCACCCGTACACAAAAATTTATGCACGCATGACTGTAAGTCGCTTTGGATAAAAGCGTCTGCTAAATGGCATATTGTTATTATATTATTATCTTCTCAGATTCACCCTGCACTCTCTCGCTCTGGTTGTACGTGGTACATACACTGTGGGGACAGATTGTGTGTGTTTAGTTGTTGACCATGAAGGTGGTGAGCTTTCCGACGTCCTGTTTCTGACACAGCTCTATGGGCTGGCTTGGCTCCAGTGAGGTGCTGATGAACCAGCCCGGGTACATGGCCGACTCAAAGGTGGTCAGGGAGATGCCAGTGATTCTCTTGTAGAAGAGGAAGCGAACTGTGTCTTCCTGAGCGCTGATGGTTGTTAACTGGTCCTCACAGCACTGAGTGAGAGAGAGCGAGAGAGAGAGTGTGTGGGAGGATGGAGAAAAGGATTAGGATGATGCGGTGAGGTAAGTGTGTGTGGGTTTGAGTGAGAAATGTGAGTGAGTGAGTGAGTAAGAGAGAGACCGACCTCCAACTGTAGGACAGGGGTTTCGCTGCCTGTCTGCTTGGAGCAGGACAGGTTCCAGTTGTTAATCCCCAAGACAACTGGTAGGGCCTTATAGTTGGTGGTGCAGATATTACTATACCTGGAGAGGTTGAACCTCGCTGAGAATGAGAGAGAGAGTTAAAAGGTCATTTTTAAACGCTCATCTATGACGTTTGCCGATTTTGGTAAAGGCTGCCAAAAACAAGGCTTACGGAATGCTTGCAATGTGCTTGCGGTGTAGTTTTGACAGTTAGCCTACCTCTCCGGTTGTTGCCTCCCTTCATTGTGACGGCATGCAGCTTCATGGTTTTGGGGCAGTACATCAGGCTCTTCTGGTGACCGTCACACAGGCTATACTGCTTGGGGCTGCCCATCCGCTCGAAGGTCCCCGTAGCCTTTTGGGTCACTGCTCCCACTGGCTTCTGGTTTGAGACCATCACACACTCTACAAAGAGGAGGAGGGAAGGGGCAGTGGAGGGGAAAACAGAAGGGTGGAGAAAGGGGGGAGACAGGACAAGGACCGTCAATCAAATGAATTGTTTAGTGAACTGGGCCTAAAATAACTGAAAAGCAGTAGAGTATAATCAAAGAGTATAGAGTCCAGGGTCAGGGGTTCATTCATATTATGAGGAAAATGTGGAAATGGAACTTCAGTTTAGTTCCCGACTTGACTAAATTGAAATGGAACGGCACGGCAGCCTATGCACCTTCCACCAGGTTGTCCATGATGATGCTGCAAAACTGTTCGTCGGTGCACTCCATGCCCAGGGGAGTTTGTGTGGAGTCGGACTTCTGGAAGGGGTTTTTCATCCTGTGCAGCGCAATCACCAGGTGAGCCACCTCTCTCATGCCTACCCCACGCTGATGGATAACCTCCAGGTCGAGGCTCAGGCCTGTGTGCAGCCCACAGCTCTCCATCTGTGGTCCACTCTATACACATACAAGTAATCAGAATGAGAGTCCATGAAGTAAAAATTAAAATTAATAAAAATTTCTGTCAAGAAAAAAAAATCACTACAAATGATTTCTATTGAACATGCCATCACTATTAAGGCAATTTAATAACACAAAGAGTACCTTATTGGTCGTCTTTATGTAAGAGCATACTCAACCTACGTTTGTGATGCTCTGTCTAAAGTCTACAACTAGTGTATCCTAATCCTTGTGGCGCTAGCCATACTTTTTTATACAAGGTAAACAAAATGTCTTACCTTCGCATCAGGCAGGCGGTATTCGGTATCAAACTCCATACTCTCCGAATATGAGCTGCAGAGGAAAAAAAAAAAAGGTGTTAGCCTAAAATCTCATCTTCCTCTTCAAGCTCAGATAAACAAGCACTTTTTATATTGAGGTGGGTCTAACAATTTCTAAAAAAGTTTAAAATAACTGGATAGAAAAGGTTCGTGCAAACTGCGTATATGTCAGCAAATTGGAAATAGGCAATCTGCTGTTAAAACAATAACAAAGGCAAGACCCCGCCACTGTTTAGGTAAATAGCTGAGGGATGCGGCTGGATAAATGTAACCAACCTCAAATTCATAGACAGAGCTATGGATGCAAGGACTGCCCATCCACGATATCAAAATTATAGTTTGAACCACGTTGAGGCTATACACTTTGTTTACAATTACATTGTTTACAAACAATGGAGTAAAACATGCCTATATTTTGGGTTCTGAAGGGGTTAGACAGTTGAACGAAGCTCACGAGGCAGTTATATTATAATAATAATAATAATAAGCCATTTAGTAGACGCTTTTATCCAAAGCGATTTACAGTCATGCGTGCATACATTTTTGTGTATGGGTGGTCCCGGGGATCGAACCCACTACCTTGGCGTTACAAGCGCCGTGCTCTACCAGCTGAGCTACAGAGGACCATATTCTGCAAGAATCAATGGCTATATATCATTAATTTAAAAGTCCAAACATGTAGCAATAGCATATTTCCACTTTCAGGTTATTATTTATTTGTGTCATCTTCAATTAGGATATTTTACTGTAGGCTATATATTTACAAAACACATACTGTAAGAACGGCAATTGATTCAGTATTCCTCAGAAAACAATTCAGAGACAGCCTACCTCGGCAGAGCATCAGCCAAATCGAAGTCCATGATTCTGAGACAAAATGAGAACAAAAATCACTGTCATTTGAGATGACCATACAATACTTTAAATCAATTTTCTATATTTAAAAAATGCATTTAAAAAAGTTAACTACGTTTTTCTAAATAGCCCACCTTTAGAGAGAGTTGTCTGTCGGATTTTAAGTGTGAAACTGGCGTCGCATGTGCTAAGGCGCACGATTTATATAGGCGGTGGACGAGAGCGTCATAAGGACTGCAAGCGACTGCGGAGTGACTGATCTATAAATCACCTTGCAAGATAAATAATGACTCATTCTAATTTGTAGATCAGTCAGTGAGTCACAATTTCACCCATGATACAAGTGCGGGGTTGATCCTCTCGGACACGGCCATAGACTACCCGTGTCTAGAACCTGGGAAACTCCCGCACTTGCGCTTAACGTGGTCGAAAAAGTCAACGCACTTTCAGAGTTTCATCCAAGCCGCCAGGGTCCGGGTCTAGAAGCACTGTTTCGACTGCTCCTACAGTCTTGCTTCAGTACTGCAGTTTAACTGACGCCCGGCCCAGAAAGACAATTTCCACAGATGGCCACATAGAGAAGACAGATTAGAAAAAATAAAATAAAAAAAACTTTAGTCATCACCTTTGTGCACAAAACATCCCATTGAATTGTTCAAATAATTGTCACTTACCACGTTTCCATCCACAGTTTTTATGTGAGTAAAATCAAACTGTATAAAAATAAATACATGCAGTCAGTTCTTTTTGTGTGAGTAAAATTAATTATGTGAGAAATGGCGGTGGAAACGCCTTTATGCTCAAATATTGATATAATAAGTAAACTTGGAGTCACGGGATGAAATGGTGTGTGGTCCTCCCACTACGACTTGGGAAAATATGCAGGTTTTAGGCTAGAGATTGAAATTGAATTATACTAGCTAGTGAGGCCGATTTTTTGTATTTTGTATTTTTTTGTATTTTATCACTCACTGCTGAAGAAATTAACATTTTATATTAATCCAATGTCTGCCATGTTTTTGGATGACGTGATAATGTCGTCGCTGCTCGCGCTGCCCCATTTGCACACTGAGTGCTAGTGCGCTTGTGAAGTTGGGTCATGTAAACTGGATGCAACCCGGATATACACTGAACAAAAATATAAACGCAACATGTAAAGTGTTGGTCTCATGTTTCATGAGCTGAAATAAAAGATCCCAGAAATGTTCTACCTAACAGGTGTGGCATATCAAGAAGCTGATTAAACACCATGGGGGGCTAGTATGAAAAATGTATGCACTCACTAATTGGAAGTTGCTCTGGATAAGAGCGTCTGCTAAATGACTAAAATGTCAATTGGATCACAAAAATAAATTCATTACACAGGTGCACCTTGTGCTGGGGACAATAAAAGGCCACTCTAAAATGTGCAGTTTTGTCACACAACACAATGCCACAGATGTCTCAAGTTTTGAGGGAGCGTGCATTTGGCATGCAGACTGCAGGAATGTCCACCAGAGCTATTGCCAGTGAAGTGAATGTCCACTTATCTACCATAAGATGCCTCCAACGTCGTTTCTGAACATTTGGCAGTACGTCCAACCGGCCTCACAATCGCAGACCACGTGTATGGCGTCGTGTGGGCAAGCGGTTTGCTGATGTCAATGTTGTGAACAGAGCGCCCCATGGTGGCGGTGGGATTATGGTATGGGAAGGCATAAGCTACGGACAACGAACACAATTGCATTTTATCGATGGCAATTTGAATGCACAGAAATACCTTGACGAGATCCTGAGGCCCATTGTGAGGCCCATTTCTTTTAAGGTATCTGTGACCAATGTTCCCTCTAAGCTACGCGCATGCGTGGGCGCACAACTCCCCCGGGACTGCCGCGGATATTGAACTTCACTCAACTTTCTAGAGTTTTCCCCGTTAGTTAACACTATCAACGTTTCCCTTTACTTTGGGAATTGTGATCGAATCAACGCAATATTGGCCAATTTCAATGCAACATACCGAAACAAAAAGAACTACACAAGACTTATTAGTATGCTAAACTAACTATACAAGAGATTTTGTTGTAGGCAGAACGCATCAGAGTAGGATTCTATTGCATTGACTCCGCTTTGCGTCGTGCTTAAGAGCAGCCCTTAGCCATGGTATATTGTTGTCACTCCCAGATCTGTTTCACCTGTCTTGTGCTTGTCTCCAACCCCCACCAGCTGTCTCCCATTTGTCCCCATTATCCCCAGTCTATTTATACCTGTGTTCTGTTTGTCTGCTGCCAGTTCGTCTTGTCAAGTCTTACAAGCGTGTTTTCCCGTTTTCTAGTCTTTCTAATTGCTGTTTTCTAGTCTTCCCGGTTCTGACCATTCTGCCTGCCCTGACCCTGAGCCTGCGCCTGTTTATAGCTGCCTTGGATTTATGACCATTCTGCCTGCCCGCCGTTCTGTACCTTATTGACTCTGCCCTGGATTACTGACCTCTGCCTGCCCTCGACCTGCCTTGGCCTGTCCCCTTGTATAATAAATATTCGGAGAACTGTACTATCCACCTCCTGTGTCTGCATCTGAGTCATGATAATTGGCCATATACCACACTACCTTGGGCCTCATTGCTTAAATAGACCATTGCAATATAGGAATCTGTGCCACTCACTTTGAACTGGACTGTTTTTACAGCATCAGCAGTCGTGGGTAGATGCACTTTTTTATTATTATAATTGTTTGTACTTTTACCCCTTTTAATCCCATATTGGTAGTTACAGTCTTGTCCCATCACTGCAACTCCCCTACAGACTCGGGAGAGAGCCTTGAGTCCTCTGAAACATGACCCTGTCAAGCCGCACTGCTTGCTTAACCCGGAAGCCAGCCGTGTCGGGGGAAACACCGTCCAGCTGGCGACCAAAGTCAGCTTGCAGGCGCCCGGCCCGCCACAAGGAGTTGCTATAGCGCGATGGCACAGGGAAATCCCGGCCGGCCAAACCCTCCCCTAACCCGGACGGCCTCATGGGTGTCATGGCCGGCTGTGACACAGCCTGGGATCGAACCCGGGTCTGTAGTGACGCCTCAAACACTGCAATGCAGTGCCTTAGACTGCTGCGCCACTCGGGAGGTCCCCGGCGCTTGTTTTGAGATCAAAGCGAGAGCTACATGTAGCGACTTGCACATTTGTTCATATCCTTTGCTAGTTAGTGAGTTATTAGCCGAGTTATAGATAATTTGTAGTCAGCAATGGGGAGTGATTGCTTCCTAAAAGAGCACAAAACGTATACATTTCTAGACATCTTTGAAAAGCAAGTCAGGTAAAGAGCTTTGTCTTAAAAGGGGCAGTGTTGTGTTTTGAGACAGGCTTGAATAAGCTAAGTAGCAAATAGGCAGAGGGTAGCATAATTTGTCTGAATCTATGTAATAATGGTATGGGAATAATGATGCATTTTTATTTTGTAAAGTGGTTTCTTGCATCAAACAGCACAACAACATTTTCAGTCACCTCCTTGTCTGAAGGACAAGTGTATAACATTGCAACAGACAATGTTAATGTCAAGTCCTGCATGTTTTTTTCAAATGACTCACGGAATGTAGGCCTACATTGAACACCACACATTGGCTACTACTGTACGCTGAATGATAGAACAGCTATTTCCATGTTAAAATGTGGTAGGCCACTCTGGTAGATCTGGAGGAGAAAGAAACGCATACCTGTTCAGGTGAGGTGCTGGCTAGCGGAGTAGAACACTTGAAAAAGAAAAGGAGAGCCGCACACTCTAGGAGCTCAGATGCAATAATTTAATAACCTAATAACCAACGTTTCGACAGACAACCTGTCTTCATCAGGGTATAATGACAAACACTGCGGGTCACTAGTTTATACAGTGCCTTGCAAAAGTATTTATCCCCCTTGGCGTTTTTCTTATTTTGTTGCATTACAACCTGTAATTTAAATTGATTTTTATTTGGATTTCATGTGATGGAAGTGAAGTGAAATGAAAAAAAAAATTGTTCAAAGAATTCGAAAAAATAAATAACGGAAAAGTGGTGCGTGCATATGTATTCACCCCCTTTACTATGAAGCCCCTAAATAAGATCTGGTGCAACCAATTACATCCAGAAGTCACATAATTAGTTAAATAAAGTCCACCTGTGTGCAATCTAAGTGTCACATGATCTCAGAATATATACACCTGTTCTGAAAGGCCCCAGAGTCTGCAACACCACTAAGCAAGGGGCACCACCAAGCAAGCGGCACCATGAAGACCAAGGAGCTCTCCAAACAGGTCAGGGACAAAGTTGTGGAGAAGTACAGATCAGGGTTGGGTTATAAAAAAATATCCGAAACTTTGAACATCCCACGGAGCACCATTAAATCCATTATTAAAAAATTGAAAGAATATGGCACCACAACAAACCTGCCAAGAGAGGGCCACCCACCAAAACTCACGGACCAGGCAAGGAGGGCATTAATAAGAGAGGCAACAAAGAGACCAAAGATAACCCTGAAGGAGCTGCAAAGCTCCACATCGGAGATTGGAGTATCTGTCCATAGGACCACTTTAAGCAGTACACTCCACAGAGCTGGGCTTTACGGAAGAGTGGCGAGAAAAAAGCCATTGCTTAAAGAAAAAAATAAGCAAACACGTTTGGTGTTCGCCAAATGGCATGTGGGAGACTCCCCAAACATATGGAAGAAGGTACTCTAGTCAGATTAGACTAAAATTGAGCTTTTTGGCCATCAAGGAAAATGCTACGTCTGGCGCAAATCCGACACCTATCATCACCCCGAGAACACCATCCCTGGTGGTGGCAGCATCATGCTGTGGGGATGTTTTTCATCGGCAGGGACTGGGAAACTGGTCAGAATTGAAGGAATGATGGATGGCGCTAAATACAGGGAAACCTGTTTCAGTCTTCCAGAGATTTGAGACTGGGACAGAGGTTCACCTTCCAGCAGGACAATGACCCTAAGCATACTGCTAAAGCAACACTTGAGTGGTTTAAGGGGTAACATTTAAATGTCTTGGAATGGCCTAGTCAAAGCCCAGACCTCAATCCAATTGAGAATCTGTGGTATGACTTAAAGATTGCTGTACACCAGCGGAACCCATCTAACTTGAAGGAGCTGGAGCAGTTTTGCCTTGAAGAATGGGCAAAAATCCCAGTGGCTAGATGTACCAAGCTTATAGAGACATACCCCAAGAGACTTGCAGCTGTAATTGCTGCAAAAGGTGGCTCTACAAAGTAT